AATATTAAAAATATGGCATGCAGATCATATTATGCATAATGCATATATGTGATTAATAAATATATTCACAATTACCATTATCAGTTTATTACGTATAAAAACTTCTCAAACATCATGAGTTAGGTACACTATTTTTATYTTATAGTTAATTGACATCTTAATGTACAGTATTCTAAAAAAGAAATATTATCGTTTTGAATAACTGTTGATCCGAACCCTGGAAATCGACACCGATCAGCCTTCGAATTGTAATATCCCTGTTGGTTATTCATACCTTACCTACCTCGTCAGTCGTCTTACATACTATGTCGTATAATATGCATTTATCGTGTTTATTATTCTTTTTTGTTGCTCAGCAACGCAARTTGCTCAGTTCACTTTACGCATACACTTTTATCGCTCCAAAMTKTTGAAACGTCTCACTCAATATGTATGATCCCCTCTACTTTATTTATAATCATAGGGTTAAATTAAAAATAATTCGATTTATGTTTGTTTCGTATAATTTGTAAAAACTTTGAATAATAATATTCGAATAAGACAAGTGTGACAGAAAGAACTTTTTTTTTTAATTTTCTAAAAGGTATAGCGATTTGGTCCAATTTGTTTTACTACAAATAATCCTAATAAGATTATTAATGTGAATTTTTTTACGACTAAAAACTGAAACGTATATTCATGTTGCCAGCCAATTAATTTTTTTATAATTTAATTTCTTTCGTGGTGATTTAGTAATAAATATRGTAAATATTTGAACTTTTACCAGTTTTACTTGTTAATAATTAACTTATGCTRTATAATATTGTTGCATTTATTATTCTGAACAAAAGTTTTAGTCGCAAATGYCATTTTATTTAGCGGTTCTAACTTTTTTTCCTATTTTGTTTTTAAATAACCCTTTATCGCGATTACACCTACTACACAAAAAAACCATAGCACCCTACTCAATATTTTGTTTCTACAAAGAAAATCTATGAATCATTTACATATGTTATTTTTAAGAAGTAGGTACCACCTATAACCATGACAACAAAAGCTTACRAAAAAATAGGTCAGAAACAAAAAAATGTTGTTGCTTAAAAATATATTTATGTTAAAAAATGTATACTTACCAAATATTATGTTATCAGTAAATGATCGTCGCGACRGATTCGCTCGCGCCAACATACTTTCTCGTGAGAACCATATAAATCCGTACCTATATACTTTTCTTCAGCGAATCGATATAATATTTATCTCAGTTCTACACGAATGATCTTTACTATTGAGAATCACGCACATGCGTATAAAATAATACCTATACACATTATAATACGTATAAAATATTATATTTTAATATTATGGCACAAATGAATTCTGTTTGCAGAACTATACGCTCGTAAATAATATATCGATCGTGATGTTCACCCATCTGGGATCCTTATAGGGAAKTCGTCGCCAGGCCTGAATTAATAAAAATTGTCGCCAGGGGCAACATAAAATTTGCCAACGCTCTCTCCCCTCCCCCGAAAAAGAAAATTTTTTTCTTTATTGATATTACACAATTATAATTTGTAGTAGTAAATAGTTACATTAATATAAAATAAAACTCAGTTCAATAACCGATATATATAATATTTTTTAAATGACACAACAACTTGAAAGATAAAAATATTAAATTAATTTATAACTTCGTAACTTTACATTTAAAATTTTTAACCATCTCAATATTTTGCAGTCCCTAAACCTAATTTTTATATTGCCACCAGGGGAAATTGCCCCTCTGGAACGTCTGAACCCTCCCTTATACGAACCTGGTCGTCGCTGTCTATCACGATGTATAATGTACTCTGGACACGTCACATTAKAATATCGTAATGTAATCGCGTGCTCTGCAATCGTATATATAATACATGTATATAATTATAAACTGACCATGCTCGTCACTGCATTTCTTGCCGCACACAATAATAATAATATGCGCACTGCCGATATTATTATTTAGTTAGGATAGTTCCGCGTGTGCAGATTTTAAACGTCTGTCTACGAGTAATATCGGAAATATTTTTAATCATTTGTTCGTCACGTCCGTAGGTCATTTTTCACAAGTAGTTTGGGCGACCAGCAAAGAAATGGGAGTCGGCGTAGCGTCCAACCGTTCGGGGCAAATATTCGTGGTCGCCTGTTACGATCCTGCTGGAAATTTTCTCGGCCAGTTTAGAGAAAACGTTCCACCTGTCGGGTAAAGCCAGATAATCTATTGTTTTATTATTTATTTATTTTTTTTTTATATATACTCGTCAAAGACACAATTAAAATGATATATACTATATTTTATGTACCTACAATACATAACACGTTTGGTTTTAGTGGTTTTAAAGACGCGCCGCACAGTCCTAATCTTGTACAGCTCTCGTACACGGACGAACAGTTGTATGAAGACAGTTTAAAGCTCCATAATGACTACCGTCTGAAACATGGTTCCGGGCCACTGACTTTGAACAAAATGGTGAGTAATAATACATAATATATACTTCCTAAACGTATGATATATTTTTAATATGTTGAGTAATAGCAAAATATATTATACAGCTATTTTACTGAGATAATTTTTAAAACAATAAATGTTCAATTTATGCACAATTTGTCGTCAGATATTATTATTAAATCATATAGTAGTAATTTTATCGTTCAAAACGTTAATTCGTACTACTTAATAATAATTCATCAATGGAATATTATAAATATACACCTCATATATATTATATACGAGTATACAGTATATTTATCAAAGTCTTTTTTTATCAGTTGTGTCGCAACGCGCTGACCTGGGCAAAAACATTGGCCAAAGATGACAAATTCATCCATCAGCCAGATAATCCTTTTGGTGAGAACTTGTTCAGCATTTGGTCATCGAATCAGGTGACGGCCAGAGACGCGATATGCAACTGGTACAAAGCGGGGAAAGATTACGATTACTCGAGAGAGCCTAGAATTATAAAATCAGGTAATGATCACAGCACGCGATTAAACGTACGAAGTAGTTCATCAAAAGTTTTCTGAGCATATTATTATGAAAATGATTAGAAAGTTTGCAGAATGTCTTCGATCGCAGGTCTGCATAAAACACCACTATTTACCTACCTGCACAGTTCATGTTGTGCCATTTTTTTTTTACTGTTTTATGAATGATGAGTACATTATACAACATATAAGTACAAGAATGCCACAGATGTTTTTCGCTATTCTGAAAGTATAAAAACTATATTGTGTATTGAATTATTTTATCATGACGTAAAGCTTCTATAAATGTTTTATAGTTTACATAATAACATAAATCATTGAATTAACAGCGAATGTTTAAAAAAAAAAAAATACTTAATTGTTCTAATAATTGAATAATTGTCTATATTCTATACCATCGGATAAATATATAGTGATGTATCTAAATACGAAATTTACATTTTAGAAAATTTCTAAATTAAAAATATATTAACTGTTTTTGTTTATGTTAGTTTTGTTGCAATAAAATAACAATACTGCGAATATGCTGTACCACCGCTAAAATATTAAATATTATAATTTACTATGTTTAAACACAAAACAGTTAAATAAATAAATAAAATGTGTAGGTGTGTAGGTATAATATAATATTTTTAATTTTATGAAATATACTTTAAAATAAAATAAATATTTTTAATTTTTCACGCCTTAAAAAATAAAATAGACTTTTAAAAATTAAATTTGATTTGTCATCACAAGGCATAGAGTTTTGGAGTTTTAGACAATATTAAGGTATGTAAGTATGTTATAAGTACGAATCACATGATTTTCGCGTAATAAACGATCATATATTTTAGTGAGTGTGCTCTCATAAAATTATAATGCATAATCTTCCTGCATGTAGCCACGTATAGCATGGCATTACACGTGACAACCAACCTTGTAATATTATGTTACAGAAACCTTTAAGAGAAGTTTCAAAAAACATATTGCATAATATTGTTGTTGCTTCTACATTAAATTAACACCAACTAAATCACTAATGTTCAAATTTTATAACGATATATTTATATATCTATATTTTAATTCCATCGTATAAAAATATTTTTAATTACTGAAAATTTACGATTGAAAAGAATGTTTATTGCTAAAAAAAACTTTAAGAAAACTAAACAAAATCTAAACAATTTTTATAGAGGAAAATATGCTTGTTCTTTGTTTTCATTTTTTTGTTGGTGGGGTGGTTGTGGGTCAAAAATAAAAATTACCAGCATATCTCAGTAAATAACGATCAATTTTCAGTTGATTTTTGAGTAACTTTTAGTATATGATGTTTGGTTTTGGTTTAACCAAAAATGTATGTTTCGTAATTGTTACTAATTTTGTATGATACTAAAGTATAAATAGTTGACATTTTATTTCCATAAAGTGAGTTTCCCATTTAGTTTACCAATATCTCTCGGTCATTAAAAACATAATTTAATGTTAAGTTTGTGGTTTTGATTAATTATATAGTAGATACTTACCTAATGTTTTCAAAATGAAATGTAAATCGTGTATAGATTTCCAACGGGGTACAATATCAACTCTACGGAATTGTTTTTAAAAATATTACCATAGGTAGAAACATCATACATGATACATCTAGTTTCTCCGAAGACAAACCGGTTGGAAGTGTTTTATACGTCTGTAAAGTTTTCTGTAAACGCTAGGAATACGATTTAAATTCTATAAAATTTAGACCGTAGACGTTACAGCACAGTAATTTGGGTACACGATCTGCTTTGATTGCAGGACAATTCACTCAACTCGTGTGGAAAGGCTCACACTCCATGGGCATAGCGATGGTGAAAGGCAAGTCTGGAAGAATTGTGATCGTCGCAAATTATGATCCGCCCGGCAACATAATGGGACAGTTTATGGATAACGTTCTTAAGCCTAATTAGATCATATACGTTATCTATACACATCAGTCATAAACTTACATTCCTTTTTTTATTTAAGTATCTATTTCCATTATTTTGTTGTTACTTATAATCATTATTATGTATACTAATTTCAAAAGTATTATTATTGTCTTTCATATTAGAAAAATATAATATTTATGTACATGTATATAGTAGGTATATATTATAGTATAATTTCATATATTTTAATATATGCCTATTAAGTTATATTAGCATTATATTCTGCATTATTTTATAATATAAAGCGAAAATTATGAAATATAATGTATTAAATTATAGTTTATAGGCGAATCAAAATGTTCAAAAAATATTAATATGTATAATTATTTTTTGCCAAACTAATTTTATAACATTCAAGAATATTATTTTTATTATATTTATATAACGATAAATATATTTCATGGTTTGCAATGCAATATTTTTATCATGTCTGCTTTCTTTTTTTAATAACTATACTCATATTATTTCCATTGTATATAAGCTATAAATCGTTATAATTATTATGATGGTATAGGCGTGGGCAGGATATGCTAGTATACAATAGTACGATAAAACGCTTTTTAAATAGTAAACTAATCAAAAGTATACATTTTTGACTTTTTTTACGTTATTAGTAAACTAAATAAATTGTTATGCATAATTATATGGTACCTAGGTATTCAATTCTTATATGCATGCCATCGGTAGATAATTAACATAAATGTTCATTAGGTTGCCTATCTACTACCTTGTGAGTTCATAATTCATCATACAAAACATTTTGTTTTTGTACTCGTTTACACTCGTGAAACAAATTTTAATTTTAGTAATAGTGCTGAGGAATAGAATTGAATATTTAAGAAAAAAACCAGTCAAAATATTAATTTTATAAATATTCAAAAGTGAAGTTTGGTTATTACCTACTAATTATTTATTAAGTTAGTAGACCTAATTCTATTTTCTAAGACTATTTATTTTTTTTTAAATTCAAAAGTGCCCATTTTATAGTTACTTATTGGTAATATATTTAAAAAAAATTTTTATTTGTTGAATTTTGAACGAATGACAATTCTTGACTTTGAAAATTTAGTAAATTATTCCAAAAGTTTTTTTTCAGCTATTTTTGTAGTCTCAAAGTTTGCCAAAACATACCATCTCCGTTTGTTATCGATTTTCGTTGATTCTGCTAATTTAATTTTTATGTATATTGGAGTTCTAGTTTCTCCATTTCATATACTCATAACTCATATCTATTTAATTTATGACTATATTACTTCTTGAATTTTTCTCTTAACCAAATTTCTACCAGAAAATGGTCGGTGTCTACTACAGCTCTTCATGATGTTCTTAAATTAGTCCAATTATACTATCAATACTATTTTAAACATGTTGTTGATCAGTTCATGGTCAATCTTGTGCCTTCCATCCGGTGACACATGGGTATATTTTTATATATCTTTGCATGGAAACATTATACTTTTAATTAATAATTCTTTCCTGTTGCAGAATTTGCTAGTCTTGTACCATTATTATTTGATTGTGTGTATATAATAGACTATATGAATGTCTGCTATACGATGTGGTGTATCTTTTTTTTTCGCATTTAGATCACCAATAGTCACTCTTCTAGATTATTAAAGAATGTATTATTTTATTTATATAGAAAATATTCATTACAGGTTTAGTAAGACCAAAATGTCTCTTCGCACCTATAATCTACGCATAAATGTACATTCGAGTGGTTTGTAATGAACACACAAATGCCAAGATTTTCTTGTAGGCGTCAATTAACTTTTCATTTACAGAATTTTGCACAAGATGTATGCAATTTATTTATTTTGCGCAATATTTTTACTTGGGAAATGCTATTTGGCATTTATTTAATATTTCGAAGAATTTACAGATACCTATTATTCAATAATTTATTATGGGGGTGAATGTTTTCGTCGGCAAAGACGACTCGCAGTTCTTTCGTGTTGGAGCGTATAGTCAATGAATTGATCGATATTTACCAACATCCAATGTAGAACATTGATGATAATAGAACCGACAGTGTAACAGCTTAATATATGTTACCAATTAAGTGGTCAATAAGACGATTGGGACGTTGGCAGGAAATTGCAGGTGAATATAAATTGCACAGTATTCTATGTACGTGGTCGATGTAACGATCGCAACGTCGGCGAGAAGCGAGATGATGGTACACTGCGTCAAAATTACCATTTTTCTAAAAGTCGATAGTGTAAGCTGCGGCAAATATACATTTAACACAATAGTCAATAGTATACAATCTGCGACAAAATTGATAAATAACATAATAAGTACTGTACAAACTGACGGAATTTATTTCAATAAAAAAAGTATCTGCAGTAATAATAGTTAGATGATAACAAGTAATTTCAGTAGTTATTATATTACAAAAAAAAAGAAACCGATATTTAGTAGGTTGTAGTGAAACTCAAAAATACATTTGAATTTACCATACCAATTATTTGTACGTAAACATAACATAATAATTAATTATACGATAAGATTATTACTTACCATAATAAATAATAATAATATTCTATACATATGTGTAGGCATTATTTTAGATAAAATTTACATGGTTAAGTGATTTGCATATACCTATCCATATTATTTACACATATACCTACTTAGGACTTATGTATATTATCGTATCGACTATTGGTATATATATACAGTAGATATGTGTACGACATAAAACAGTTTGTATAATTTATCTATTTCACCAGTTTTTTCGCAGGCAGTAAATTGTTGGTTTTTTATTTTTTTTATTGCAGTTCACACATCAACCTTTAGAAAAGATGTCATTTTGATGCAGATTACACACAGCCGGCCAGAAGCTGGTGACACACGATGTTCTATACGGTCGATGTCACTATAGTTGAGTGCACTGAAAATTAACTTTTACGAACGGTWCGTTGACGATACCCTACCGAAATAGATAATCAATACTGGAAACGGGTGGGACCCTGTTCATTAATAATTAATACACGTTTGCACGAATTTAAATTAGTCGTCAGCAACTCTGGGATATTGACATAGGTACTGTGATAAGATTACTTTATAGGTTCAGTGTGTCTATGTGTATACCCATGCCAACTCTCTTCAGATAAGTAACGCTTTATTTCATTGATTGCTATTGCCTTATCTAAAACTGCATTTGAAACCTTTTCAGGTACAGTTTCAACATCTTCTTCATCTATTATTTTATTTTGATATACAGCAGATTTAGCAATAGTGTCATGTACAAACCAACATAATATTTCGGTATTGAGGCAGGTTTTAGAAAGTCATATTTTAGAATGCCGAGTTTTAGAATTAAAAGTTTTAGAAACACTATGTTTTAGAAAATAAAACTTCTAGAATTTCAATTTTTAGAAAATTTTTTTTTTTTACTGTTTACTCGTATATAAAATATTTTCTAATAATTCTTTCATAATAAAAATAAATATAATAATTGTTAATACTTATTAGCAATAGCTCTCATAAATTTATCTAAATTAGAATTAGAATCATCAATACATTATTCGTTTACATAATATTTGCAATAAGTTTTGTTCCGTGTTTCATTGTACTTTTTTCTCTTGAATAGTTGTTTATATCAATAAAATAAAAATTTGATTACGATTATTGAGTAACAAAGCATTATGTTTATAAATATTTTGCATTTTGATATTTCCCGTCTTCCCGATCAAACATAAATTATATAGTTACAAATTTGGAAAAGTATCATAATTTCTATATTCTGTATCGTAAATTCTATTAAAAAATAAGACAGCATTTTATTTAAAAACTGTATAATATTTTATTCATTTTATTTTATTTTCTAAAACACCGATTTTCTAAAAGTTTCAAATTCTAAAATATAGATTTTCTAAATCTTGTCATTCTAAAACTCGGCATTCTAAAACTTGATTTTCGAAAACATGCGCCCAAATGAATATTTCATATACTGCCTTATATCTGCTGGAAGTTTTTCAAAAGGAAGTAAGCTTGTCTTGAGTTTTCTTTTCTTAGGTACACCAATCACAATTTTGTCTTTACCTACATTTAATAATAGTTAAAATATGTAACTATATTAATAATATAGAAAGGTAATGTTACCTTATGGTCGACCTCTTTTAGGAACTCTTGGCGATATAGATGGTAAAGTATCTTCTGAATTGTGGTGATCTATTTAAAAATTTCGGGGGGTCCGATTCCCATGGACCCCTCACCCTGGTTACGTAATTATTTTATTAATTAAATAAAATCAATAATTGAAAATTACGCGGGTTTCCTTATCAATATTACGACAAATCACAGAGCAGGACGTGAAAACAAATACTTTCACGTCGGACGTGAAAATAACAACTGCCTTAACAATTATTTAAAAACACGTTATCGCAGATCGCTTATCCTCATCAGTTATCATAGTATAATTGACTATTATCACGAACTAAGATATACAGGACTGGAAACGTCATGATCAGCGGAGCGCGGGGGATGGGTCCGCAATTGTCACGGACTAAGATAGTATGGACTGGTATCGACTACCTTATCAGTGGCCCTCAAATGTTTCTAAAGCCGCCGTAAGGTACAACTAGGGGTAAAAGCGCCATCTACACGTGTGTTATAAAAACACAATAATTTTAATTAGACAACACAATGAATCAAATTTTCAAAATAATAAATATTAATAATATTATACTGCACAAATAATATTATAATTTATAATGTACTCAATAC